GTCTGTAAAATACTGACATCTTTCTAATATAGCTGCTAGAACACAGAATACACCCGATTTCTCTACACCATTGTATTTATACAAAGTCAACCAAAAGGATAACTGGACAACTAACTTAACACGTTTGACATCACTGATCCGATAGTTGAAAACAATGAATGGTTCACAATGTGTAAATTCTGACCATAAATAACAATATCATTTTCAATAACAAAGCTGATCATATTCACATTGAATACTATACGCGTGGTTTTACAATTGTAATTTAAGCAATATTTAAATATTTACCAGCAGGTAAAGGAAATTTGAATGATACTTACTGAAAATGAACCATATTGTTTTGATAAAGTAAACAAACTTACAGACAAGGAACTTCCGCTGCGTTTATCTTAATGTATATTGTTTAATAAAAGACTTACAGACAATGAACTATTGATAGGACCATCTTCTTTTTCTTGAGACTATGTTTTTATATCTCCTCTTGCAGTGCTGTCGGTTAACGTTGACGTCGGCGAACACGTTTCCCGATCAAATTAAACGTAACACACTAATGCAAAAATACACTAAACAGTAAATCTTATGCAAGAACCGATAGGAAATCAAACATGGATAGATAAACCAGTACGCAGGCAGTTTTCATCAACCCTTCCTTAAAGTGTCAAATTTGACAATGAACCACTCCTACGTGTATGGCGCTATTGCGTGTCGCATGTGCAAAAAAAGTTGGTATTTTTTAGTGATTAATATGTAGTTTAACACAACAATTAACAAAAAAGTCATATCTTATGAATAAAACTTAAATATACATTATGTAAAATATAGATAAAGAGCTAACCATTCTTGCTATACTAGCTCAAAAATAGATAATGTAAAATGGAAATATTGAAAATTTCATCCAAATTAATTCATTCTGAGCCAAGTCATAACTGTTTGTAGTTTTGACAATGATGTGTGAATGTCTGGTAACTATATGGCACTGATATATTCAAGACTTAGCCTCGCTTTCCCATTTTTAAATTAAATTTTTAAATGGCGAACCATTCTAATCTAGTTAAACATACATTTTGCAAGAGCTAAATCTGCTAGTTGCAGGTCTTTTCAGCAACCTTTACATATAGTTCTATTTTTAAACCCCGACACAAGTATATTTATATCAGTATTTCTATGATAAAGTCATTTGCATTACAATTATACATGCTACACGGGGTTGGGATGACCTAGTGGTCTAGAATGTCACGCGTGCCGGCCACCTCTGGCTTCCAGTCATGGGTGAGCGTATGTGGCATTGAGATAGGGTGCTTTCTCAACTTACGGGTACTCCGATATCCTCTGAGAATAAAGACCCCTGCACGCACGCTAATTTAATAAAAAAAAAAATAGACAATTTGTCTGTGATATTACCTTTGGTAGAAGCGGGCACTAAAATGTAATAGAAGAAGAAGATACAAGTACTGAGGTAGAGAGTGTCACATATCACAACACTGCGCGAGTCTTATGGTTTATCCTATCATTCTTGTAAATATTTTCTACCAAATTTTATTATGTGGTGTTTTTCACCACAGCAGTTCCAAGTTATTGGACGTATTTTCCCAAAACTTTCTTTTGACCCTCTCATCTCCCTGTGTGATACCACATTGTAGAAGATGGTGATAAGAGTATAAAGATTAACAATTAGACAATTATGTTTGCTGTTTAGCTGTGTACAGTCTGAGGAAAAGAAAAGAATAAAAATGCACAATGTCGCCCATGTTTGTTCCATTCGTCAACTGAAAGTAAAAACACATGAATACAATAGCTGTCACGAGGTTATTTGAAAACGTTAATTCTTAGGCAAACATCACATGTGTGTAACATGTCTAGAATGAAGAAAAGGATGAAATATACATTGTCGTTTCTGTTTATTCAATTAGTTGCCTGAAATTAAAAATACAATGATGATTGAACTACAGATAAACAAAGATTATCAATCAGTCTGAAAACAATTAATTCTTAGACAAAAAGAGAAAAGGGGTTTCACTTCCATTTGACACAAACTAGGTCATTTCGGGAGGACTCGGAGGAAACCCACGATGTTGGACTCCTGTTCACGTCGTATTCAAATTTACCATATTTGCATCAGTTGACCGGAACTTTGGGCCGAGACTTTAATCTGCCCTACACCCACCAGATATACTTCAACTAAATAATATTATTTATGTGCTCTTTTTGTCAAATGAATCTTTTTATATATAAAAAAAAATTAGTCTGCGTCTTTATTTATGAAACATTTAAAAAAATCTCTAGTATCTTCTAATGGAATTCCAAAAAGTAGACAAAAATACTCAGACATTTTTGGAGAAAATACTTCTAAAATTAAAAAAAAAACTTTTGCTATTTAGTTGTCGAGTCCTTCAAGTTTGTCAATGATAATCACTTTTATTACTACTTGGGAGGGACAGAAGTTGTTAGTCAGTGATTTTTTTTTCGTTTGCTTTGCTTTTGAATACAAAAGCGAAATGTCTGACCTGAGACTACATACCGTATAAATATAAGGACACCGGGTGGAGTCAGTCATAGAACGATTCTTGTTGGTGATGACGTGGACACGTCAGGTAAGTGTGAAAACGTTTCTCTTTATCAAAGTTTTCTTACTATTACACTGCTTTGTCATGTTGTTTTTAAGATTCACGAGTTTATCTTTTTTGAACACATATTTCGTTATCGGATACTTTTTTCTTGACGGGCCTTCTTTTTCGCATACACGTTTTCGCGCGCGGTATTTTGTATTTCCAGGTGCATAGAGTCCCATGTAAGTGAAACAAAGTTTAACGTCCTACTGTTCTGCTCCGAATGTGGTAATGGAGACAAGCTTAAACCATGCAGTGTGTTATGAGGGAAATATTATCCAGACAGCGGCGCTAACGACCTACTCTTATATCGAATGCCAACTGCCAAGGAATCTCTTAGGTCCACGTCAATGTGTACACGGGATCTCGGTTTTTCGTTCCATCCGAACGACTATACAGCTGTCCTTGTTAGTCCCGCCGTCCTGCATCACTGAAAAGGGAAAACCACGCTGGAAAATCCCAATGAACTTTCTCGGCCAACACTGAGCGAATCTGCGGCCTCTAGGCTAGCGCGAGCCAGGGTCTTGCTAACCTAGCCACCGTGGCTTCTAAATGACGTCATAAGTGAAGGTGTCTCCGTAGAGTATGGAGCCCGAATTTGCCTTTTTTATAATCAAAAATTCTGCCATTGACATGCTGCAGTTGCAGAAACAGGAGCGGTTGATTGGCTTAGTGGAAGAGAATCCGTATGAAAACGCCAGAACGTAAACATCCACATGCAAAATCTTTACGCAAGAAAAAACGCCAGTGAAAAAGTCGCTCATCGAAAGTGAAAGGTCCAATTACATCTGCATTAGGCCGACTTAGGCGTACATGGAGAGTGGGCCTATTGTCTTAGTGGAAGAGAACACGTGTTTGTACACCAGAACGTAAATATCCGCATGCATGATCTTTGCGCGAGAAAAAACGCCAGCTAAAAAGTCACCCATCGAAAGTGAAAGGTCCAATTCCATCTGCTTGTAAATCGTAAAGGGTTAATTTCTTTAAAACAATATACCATTACGAATTTAACATGTATTTGGAAGCTCTCTTGATAGATTTCTTCTTTCGTAAGTGGACCGCGGTAATGGACTGGTATTGGGCCTGGGCAGTTAAAAAAAATTCCGCAAAACTTGTCAGTGCCTAATGCCTTAACGTATTCAGTATTTAAGAAATGAAGTATTTTCAAAGGGACAGAAGATCAACGTCACTAACTTGCTACTATACTAAACCCTGAAACATATAACCTTTTACGCCACAAACAGGTAGGAAGACTGGTCAAAAGCCGCCAAACCAATAAGTTCAACCAGTCGAAACGCAACAACCAACAGCCCACCAATCCTGCCACTTCTAAAACTACCAAGGAAGAATACATCACCAATTCTGGTATAAATCTCAGTCAACGGTCCCTCACAGATGACCAGATCACCCTAGTTTCACCCACAACCAACCCCAAAAATTATGACCATTACATCGCTGGCATTCCGACGGGTCACCAGATAACAAAGAACTTAAAGAAGTCAGAGACATCGTGATAGTTCCTGCAGACACAGGAAAAGCAACGGTTATAATGGATACCCCGGAATACGTCAACACGGTGGACACCCTCCTTCAAGACCAAACCACCTACAGGGGATTAAGGAGAGACCCAACTTCTGTCTACCAAACGAAACACCTCAAACCCCTTAAAGAACAGAATCATATTTCAAACCAGCTTCTACCAACTCAAACCTACTCATCCTCACCCAACTTATGTAAGAGCCACAATCAAAATCCACAAAAAAAACCCACCCAAAGCCAGACTACCTGTGTGCTCCAGACACTAGGTATACTACAAAACAGCACAGCACATATCCAAATTACTATCGCCAATAGCCAAAACTGCTGATTCTCACATTCTGGACTCCAATGAATTTTGCAGCAAAACGGCGGCAATGTATCGCGTGTTTGTTTGTTGCACGTTTTTTCGGTGAATATGGAAAAATTAAAATATGCTTTGTGTGAGCACCCCCTTCTCTCTCCCGGCCCCGGACAACAGGCGTCGGCCGTGGGGGGGAGAGAGAGAGAGAGAAAGAGAGAGAGAGGGGGAGGTTAACGTCCGCTCGACATAAACTAGTTCATTTCGAAACTATCATATGGTTCATGTTTATTTCATTAATTCGCTTGCTCGTAAGCGTCTTTTATCAGTAATAGGAAACCCACGAGGTTGGATAGGTAGCTTGTCACGTACAAGCGGCAATTCGAAACCACGCCACTTGACTCAATGCCTGACCTTATGATACAACGCACACGCGTTAACCATTTGGCTACCACCCAACCCCGCTGAATATGGAATGCATTTATTTACAAATTAAACAAAAAATTATTCATCAATTAAATCTAGTATAAACTATAAATGATATAACAATAGAAACATTATCCTTGAATGCATTTATTTAAAATACAAATTTTTAAATAGTATATCAAATAAAATGGTATAAAATATAGAAAAGATAAATTCTAACATTATCACTGAATGTATTTACTTAGAACAAATTATAAAATGTATCAATTTAAAATAGTATAAAATATAGAAATGTTCTGCTCCTAACCTGGGCTAATGAAGACGGGCATACGCCATACATTTTGCCCGGGCAGCGGCACTATCGCCTACTCTTATATCGAATTCCAACTGCCAGGGGATCTTTAACGTGCATTCCAATATATACACGGGACCTCGGTTTTTCGACTCATCCGAAGGACTAGACAGCTGTCCTTGTCAGGCCCTCCGTCCTGCATCACTGACAAGGGGGGACCACGCCGGAAAATCTGGATGAACTTTCTCGGTCAATGCAGGGATCGAACACCCGACCCCCAGGCTAGCGAGCCAGCGCCTTACCCACTTAGCCACGTGATCACCTATAAAATATAGGAAGAGTATAAAATACAAAACGATTTTTAATAATTCAGTTAATTAGTATAGATAATTGGAATATTGTGTTTCAAAAAAATATATATTATCAACTAAAATAAGAATTACATAAGAATACTATTTATAAAAATAGTCAATCAAGTAAATTATCCGAAGAAGATATAAAACTTTACTTTTCAAAGAAGAATAAAAAACAAAACTATAAACTTTAGAGCATATTCGTTTTAAATTATCTAGGACTATCGCGCGTATAAATTTTATGATGCCAAATGTGACCAAATTAACAATGCGCTGAAATGCCTCCGCAGTAAATCAACCGAAATGCCACATTAATAATCCCAACCAGATATAATTTATTTTTTCAAAAGGATATAAAAAAACACACTGAGCACATTGGCATGTATTCCGCTCAAATGATTAAAAGCGCGTTCGATCAGAGAATTTTGAAATCGATAGGCTTCTTCCATAAATCGTAAAGGACAATCCCACCACTTTTTCAAAAATTATACCCCGAACTCTGTCCTGGATCACAATCACGTACGAAAACACATTTTACCTAATACTACCAAATGCAATTTAAACAGCTTAGTTAATTCAATTTGATATAAAAGTGATAGGATCGCCTAGATGTTGGTCAAACATAACATTTTGGGAATTTACTGAATTTTATTTGTGGGTTGTCTTAATAGAAGCCTCTATCAACCAAATCTGAATATTTTCATTTCAAAGGCATTCGTCTTTATATTAACCATACCGTTTTAGGAAGTGGGCGTACACATTGGGATTAAGGGACTAGTTCATCAAGCAACAATATTTTTAGTTACTACCCAAGAAAGATACACGTTTAGAATATTATATACGTTTTATATAAACCTACAGGTGAATTATGGACGTTTATAATATTATATACAAATTAGATGACAATAGAAGTATAATGGGTAATATGCATAATTATGAAATATATATGAAATATGACATATTATAAGATAGACGTTAAGAATATTATATACACTTTAAATGACAATAGAAGTATAATATACATAATTATGAAATATAAATGAGATATGTGGGTTATATTAAAATACATGTTTACAAAATTATATGTATACATTTTCAGTAACAATAGAAGTACAATAGAAGTACAATATTATTTTTAAAACAATAACTGATATAAACTTATGTAGGAATTGACATATATATATATATATATATATATATATATATTAGCAGGAATTGGCATAAACAGCAAACTCATCTAGATATTCACCGACTGCATCAAAACAAAATTTTAACTGCTCCTGAAATTTACATATAATCATTAACAACATAAAACATATGAATGGACGGGCATAAATAAGGCCAATATTAGTAACAGTATTTATTGGTCTAATAAAACATTAGATCAGTAGAAATGAAATGAAATTGGGTTTAACGTCCTACTGTTCTGCTCCTATGCTGGGCTAATGAAGACGGGCATACGCCATACTGTGTGCTATGAGAGAAATTTTGTCGGAGCAGCGGCACTATCGCCTACTCTTATATCGAATTCCAACTGCCATGGGATCTTTTACGTGCATTCCAATGTATACACGGGACATAAGATCAGTAGAACCAGTACATATTGTAATTGACTATAACTACTTTAAATTAAAATTGATCGATTGAGAAAAAAAGCACCGTTGAAAGTTTACAATCTTGACTATGTTGATGACTATTTAATCTCTGTTAACAAATTCTACCAAAAGTCTAATATCTCTGACTTGTATTTTCCAGAAATAAAGCTTGTCGCAGAACAGGAGCAGCGTACGACCTTTATAAAAGAAAGTGCCATTTGGTCTTTCACAATATTCAATGCCGTGATTTGATTCATAATACTTACAAATGATGTGATAATCTGAGGTCTAGAAACTCGTAGTTGAACTAAAGTCTGTAAAATACTGACATCTTGTTCTATAGTTAATCTTTCTAATATAGCTGCTAGAACACAGAATACACTCGATTTCTCTACACCATTGCTACAAAGTCAAACAAAAGAATAACTGGGCAACTATCATAACGAGTTTGACATCACTGATCCGATAGTTGAAAAAAATGAATGGTTCACAATATAGAGATATGACTTTAAGTATAAATTCTGGCCATAAATAACAATATCATTTTCAACAACAAAGCTGATCATATATATTGACATTGCTTATTACACGTGGTTTTACAATTGTAAAAGCAATATTTAAATATTTACCAGCAGGTAAAGGAATATGCGACATTTGAATGATACTGACAATGAACCATATTGTTTTACAAACTTACAGACACGGAACTTCCGCTCCGTTTATCTTAACGTATATTGTTTAATAAAAGACTTACAGACAATGAACTATGATAGGACCATCTTCATGTTCTTGAGACCATGTTTTTATATCTTCTAAGAGAGTAAATATTGGCCCAGCAGACGTTGGTGCCCCCTTCTGTGCATTCCAGAAATTGCACTGATAAATTCTGATTGTTCGTTGTAGGTTATCCTGATGGATTAAAACAAACAAATTTTTTACAGACATAATATATGTCAACTTTTTATTAATAATCTACATTTCCCCAATCTGCCCACTTATTTATTGGTCATTCTTTAATCCGACAATATCAGTGATTTACAATTATTGATCCTTATCCAATATGCCCCAGTGTTGTAACATTATTAACATTATTATTATATTGATGATTTACAATTATTGATCCTTATCTAATCTGTCCCAGTGTTGCAAGATTATTATTATATTGATAATTTACAATTATTGATCCTTATCCAATCTGCTCTAGTGTTGTAACATTATATTTTATTAATGATTTATAATTATTGACCCTTTTCCAATCTGTTTTATTGTTGTGACATAAATAATCGAGTACAGATTTTAATATATAGATTTAAGATTATATCACCTAAGGCTGATTAAAGGAAGATTAAATAAAAAGTAAAATGTCCTACGTACATCTGTTTCACTTTTAATTGAACAGGTCACCATGGAATAAATTGTATTCTCATATTCTGTTTCATCTGTTCTAGTAATAGTATATGGTCCACAGTTCAGTTCCTCAATTCCTGGTACATATTGTCCAATATCCTGTATAATACAAACAAGTTTTATAACTTGTGGGAATATACGTTCTCGTATAAGGTATTATCACAGTTTCTGTCAAATGATAAAGAAATCACTTGAAGAATTACTGGTAGAGCTTCCAGCTACCTGATAGAGCCCTATACATCTCCACCGTCCCACAAACTTAGTTTAGCTAAGTGTAATAAGATTTCATCCTGTTCTAGCTTTTCGTATTTTGATTGGTTGGCGGTCAACAAGACTTAGAATTAATGACAACATATTATAATTTTACCTTTCCTGTTTCTGTAATATCCATATTAACTATTGTAGTAACGTCTTGTTCTACAACCATCGTCCAGAAATCTATCACTGTATTTGGTAAAGGTGTTTGGGTCAATATATAAGCACGTTTCTTTTTATAACTCTGTAAAATAAAGAAAATGTTGTTAAAATATCCATGCAAAGCGCGGAAATACGTTCACCCAGCATGTATGCTGCTGGAACGGTAGGTAGCGCAAACAGAATGGATTGGGTTTGTCCTCTCATGACCCCAACTCTTTGAACCGAATAAGAAAAGAAATCCATTGAAAACGGCAGCCTCTATTGCGTTAACAAGGTTTCTGGAAAAGGGGAAATAATCAGGAAAGGATGGTCGCGGAGTGCTGAAAATCAATAGGGTTCATCCTTTCATGACATCAATGCTTTATCCCCCCATTTAAAAAGAATCCGTTAAAATATAGCCTTTGACTAGTTTACGATCCAATTGTTGACAAATTGACCGACAAACATGGATGACGACATACTTCACTCTCGCTTACACGTGGCGGCATACCAACGCAAACATACCCAGTATTAGATTATAAACTACAGAACGTAGAATGGAGGACATATGCCAGAAGAAACGAACCGGCAATTAAAATCTACCAGATAATATCTTACAGATACTTCAATCTAAAAGATGATATTTTAAACATCAATACCATACACTATCTGGTTTACATTTCATGTTTAGTCGTTTGAAAATATTATTTTCTTACCGATAAAAATAAAGCATTGATATAATCTGTGGTCTGTGGTTTTGATAAACATAGTCGAACTTTATCGGCTGAAATAAACAAGCTAACAGTGAGGATGATGTCCACCCAAATACAATCCCAATATAAATAGATGACACATATTATTAGATAACTGCAGATTGCTCTTGTTGAAAAGTATCAAGCAATCAAATTGACTATTTATACTTCGTCTAAGCAGAAAATGTTCACCAACGAACTTATTCAAGCGTTTGAAGTACCTTGTCGTGACAAAGTATACACTAAGTTGTATCACTTTCTGTCTCTCTATCAGAATAAAAGTTATCTCTCTCCAAAGCATGGACCACCAATAAAATTGCTTAGGTTTAAACATTCTCCCCCCCCCCCAGTAAACATGCATTTATTATATATGTTCCAAAGTCATAACAAATCAAATTGCTTATCGCTACTTAGTCTAAACAGAAAGTTCACGTCATCTAACTTATTGATATAATGAATCTATACTCTGAGTTTCATCACTCTCACCCAATTAGAACTAAAGTTATCGTGCCCCAAAGTCTTGACTAATAAAATTGTTTATCTCTGCTTACGCTTAAAGTGAAATGCGCATGGTCGAACACTGTAAAAATATTCACCTAATAAACACCTACACCAAGTTTAAACATTTTACTTCAGTGAGAATGAGAATCATTGTGTTCCAAAGTCTCAACCAATCAGACTGAAATCTATACTTAGTATAATCAGAAAATAAATGCTCATCATCGAACTTAGTCAAGGTAGTGGTGTAATAAAAATAAACTAAAACCAAGAACGAACAATCTACACCATTAGACAAAATTCGAAGACCTATTGGCAAAACAGTGTAATCAGCAAATGGACTATTCAACATGTACAAAATACATGATGAACAGTAGTAACAGCTGTCCGGAAGCGTAAGCTTACCTTGCCTGGCGCCACACCAGCATCTAAACCATCAGACGAAATCAAGGCAAAATAGCTTAATTAGCCAATGGACCTTCCGTATGCAACCCTGTAGTTAAAGCTTAGATGACCAAAGCCTCGGTCTAATTTTAAAAAATCAGAAAAAAAGGAACACGCTCTCGCGTATCGACTACCTAAGTGCTGTTTATATGTTTTTATGTCATATGTTTTATGTCATTTTATATGTTTTTAAATATTTTTATGTCGTATTATATGTTTTTATGTCATATTATATGTTTTTATGTCATAGTATATGTTTTTGTCCAACGCATGGTTAAACACTGTCAAGACATTCACCTAATAAACAACTACACCAAGTTTGAACATTCTACCCCAATTAGTAGGAGAATGACGGTGTTCCAAAGTCTCGACTTACCAGATTAAAGTCTATACTTAGCCCAATCAGGAAATAAATGTTCATCATCGAACTTAGTCAAGGTATTGGAGTTATGAAATTATACACGAAGTTTCACCAGCCTCACTCAATTAGAATTAAATTTATCGAGCTCCAAAGTCTAGACCAATCACATTGGTTATCACTCTGCTTACCCTGAGCAGAAAATATTCATTATCGCACGGTATATATATAATGAAACTATACACCAAGTTTCACCACTCTCACTTAATTAGAACCAAAGTTATCATGCTCCAAAGTCTCAACGAATAAATTGGCTTTTATCTGCTTAGCCTAAGCCGAAAAGGCTTATCTTTAAATTCCACCAAGAAATTCACCTAAAACATCTAAACCAAGTGTGAACCATCTAGCTCAATTACAAAGAGAGTTATTGTGTCCCAATAGCATGACGGAGAGGCGGACAGACCCATTTTAAGTTCTCCGCTGGCATTAATATATACATATAAATATATTTTATTCTGTGGAAGTTACACATACTTTTTATTCAATCAGTTAATGAATAGGTAAATACACAAGTATAAACAATGAATTGAGTAAGTTTGTCAAGACGACATGGTAACCACAATAATAAATATAAAAACAAGAAAACTACTTACACGCTAGTATTGCCAGATCTCTGTTCTTATTTTCGTTTTCTTCTGATAAAGCTACTGAACAATCAGTTGCTCTTTGTGGCGGACACACGTCATTAAGCATCTGAAATAAAGATACATATTATAAATCACAAAAAATAGCTCCATGCATGAAAATACATGAGAGTGTATATTTAGTCAAAGGTATTATTATGTATATTTACCTCAAATCGTTCTTGAAGCTGTGATTTACCAGACGTTTTATTGACTTTCAGTAACGTCTGATAGTCCTTTTGATAAGACGTCACAGGAAATGTAATTTCTCCAGCTATATACCATTCAGCTAAAGCATCATGTAGAAATACATATTGTTCCTGAAATATTTACATAGAGGTGAATTCGATTTTACCTTCAAATAATAATACTATAAGATATTAAGGCATACATTAAATAAACATACCCATGCCTGGACCATGTTAACTCGTTCATATCTCATCTGTTTAACACATTCATAGATATCTACAGAACCTTCTGCTCTAGCTTCTTCTATCAGATAATCTAAACCTATAAAAGTTCCTGTTCGTCCAATACCAGCACTGAAAAAAAACATAATTTCCTTTATGGTAAACCTATTTGTTTTACTGTTGATTGGTTATGGGGTGGATAAGTTATCGTCTATATCAGTTCTTGATAAATGTATTGACTTACCTGCAGTGTACCACCATTGGTCCAGGATGTGGTGATGCCGCTTTAATCACTCTACTTCTGAATTCAAGCAATGACGCAATATCAGTAGGAACACCTTTATCAGGCCATGATGTAAAATGGTATTGTTTAATGGTTCTAGATCCACAGTCATCCTAGAAAATTATATAGAACTATTATAATATCAGCAGTTTCGACGTGTATATTGAATGTTAATAGATAGGAAAATATCAGGGGTCAGTTTTTGATAATTATATGAAGTATTGGACTTGTCTAATAACAGAAAAATGTTTTTGATGGCCTAAAAAATTAAAACTGAATATGTGCGTCCATAGCCTAGTGTCTACAAAGTTTCATGCCGTAGATATTTTAAACAAATTAAACACTTACTTTTGAGATTTTGAGAGTTCTAATTGTGAAGTGAGAAAAGTTCTCTTCATTAACCACTGTCATGGATATTTGACCAAACTTCATTTCCTCGCCACTGTCCGGCCAATACTTGAAACATTTTTCCTAGACAAAATTATATTAACTAAGATTAATATATTAATATTATCTGTATTAGATATCCGTTTATCCTGTCCTTACTAATATACTTGGCCCATGCTAATCCATATATTTTATGTTTTCATGAACACCTAGTGCCACTTTCCATTATAGCAAATGTACCCAGGCGAGAGGAGAGGAGAATCAAAGTTTATGGGAGCCCTGTTATCCGCACTTAGTGCGTAGAGAAACCATATTTTATGATAATCCTTGAGTGGCATTTAGCGATTGAGCACATTAAAAATCACAACACAATTTATATGGAAAACAATCACTGGTCGTGTTATATGTGTATAAACCAGTGATTGTTTTCCATATAAATTGTGTTGTGTTGTTCTATTTTTAAAATAAATAACTTCATTCCATACACATCTATGTTTCACTATTGTGATATAATTTAACTAATAGCTTAAGACCTACAGTTCCCATTTCAACCAGGTTGGTCAACATAACAATCTTTCCAGTCTGTGAAACCCACAATAATCGCAAAAACTCTTTAATAATAACATCAATCGGACCTGTGAAAAGGAATTAAAGTATATCCGAAAACAAAATATAAAAATTTATCAAGGTAAAATATTAATAACTGACACGATATCAAGTATCCATAACTCATACGGTATCAAATATCCATAACTTATACGATATAAACTGTACAAATCTGTGCGAAGTTTAGGACTTTGTGTTATGAACATAATTAACCGATACCTCCAAGTAAATCATGTTTTATTTTAAAATGAAATGAAAATATTTACAAAAACTTCTAACCTTGTGAAGCGATATATTTGTTTTCAGAATTTGCATATCCCTGTGTAAAAGATATAAATATAACATACTGTTAATAAAAGAGATCAATGTGTGGCCTATTTGATCGAAACAATAAGATTCAATTGTTTACTACATGCACTTTAATATAGAAAAAAATCCACGGGTGCTTGTTAAGGAGTAAGCTTTGATTACTACTCATTGAGACCCTTATATTGAACTAAAGACAGGCTTGCCTAAATTATACAAATACATAAGTGTGGGTAGCCAGGCCCATTAAGCATACCTAGCTAGTGAATAACCAATAACTTACAGTTATATAACAAGCATTGATGTAATCAGAATTAGGGTCATCGTTTTCTATATCCAGTTTAACCCTTGAATGATCAACTGTCAAAAACACATTTATAAAAAGATGATAATATACATTCTTCTTATATATTTAAATCTGTCTAATCATATATATGTTCATATTATTAATCGTATAAATGTAATCCGTCTATTGGTATATATGTATTTATTTAAAACAATAAAGTATCTAAATGTCTCATGGATATTTTACTTCATAAATATTTATCTATTAAAGAAACTTACAAGCACATATGTTTTTATATCTATTTTTAGGCTTATTAACAGCATTCATACAATAATCATATGCTGAACATAGTCCACTTGGAAGAGTCTGAAAGGGAATTAATATTGCTTATATGTAAAAGGGTATTATGGAAGATTAGATAAAGAGCTGACAGTTCGCACTATAAAAGTTAAAAAATAGATAATGTAAAGAGAATTGTCTGAAAATTAGTTTTTGAATTTTAGGCATCACCTCCATCATCATTACTAAGAATGATTGACAGCTTGGCAAACATATTGGCTTATATATGCCGTATGGCATATTAGGACCAACAAGAGACATCTGTGTCAATAATTGGCATTCAGGTAGGAGGCGATTTACAATTGCAAGAAAACCCGATGGGGAGAATGGCAATCGTCACTACTCTTTGTTATGTAGATTTGTCGAAACTATAACACGTGACTCTATGGCACGCCTGGCGGACATGACTAGGGCAATCCATTAGATCAGCTTATAGAATATACCGTCCTAATTTACTTTACTAACTTACCTGATATTCAATTTTGAAGGTTTTTTCTCTTTTTTTGGACTTGATATATGGCAGCAGATTGGTCAATTTAACACGTGTAGAGGGTTCACTTGGTTTATCAACGTTTACATAAACTTGTGTTGATTGTTCATCAACTTCTAGTTTGTTGGAAGAGCCTAACTGATTAACATATGTATTTCTACTCTCAATAGGCTTCTCTTCCACTATGAAAAGAAGATGATATATAAACATACAGTCACGTTATATACACAATAAACTAATGTATACACGTTATTTTTTATTTAGTGTTTATAAAATAAAGAGGTTTGGTCAAATTAGAATTTGTATTTTATTCAGTCAGGCTTTTCTATAAGGATAGACATGACAGATATTTGTTTTTTTCTAAACGAATATCGGAATTGTAACAGATTGATCTTCCGCACCAATCATTCACAGAACAATTGAAAATAAGGACGAAACTAAAATGAAGTGAGGTTTAACGTCCTACTGTTCTGGAGAGGAAAATTAGATCGTTGGCATGGTGCTATTAAAGGGACCGAATCGTGAAATGGTTAATTCCCATGTTGCTACTATAGATTTAACTTTAATTATAAAACACTCAACCGACCGTTAACTGTTTTTTCTGAAGGTCTTGATATATCAGTTTTATCATTTAGTGGTATATCGTTCACTTCTACTTTGCCGGATTTCGTCGATTTTTGTCGCCTGCAAACATAAAACCCCACAAAACAAAATTACAAAACGTGGCGTATATTTTTGATCATTTTAAAATAAAATAAAAAAAATCCTCATTTATTAAAATATCGAATAGTTCAGAAAATATTAACAATCTTTTCGTTTAAAGTAATTAAATTGGTGTATTTTTGACGTGGCAACAGCGTCTGTGAACATACACTTGTTCTTAGATGATTTAACACATATGAGATGGACTTGTGTATCTATAAATAGTGGCTCGGGAATACGTAATGCCTCTACTTAAATATAATAAAAATATTTTAACTACTATCAATGCTTTTTGCTAATTTTTTTGGTCCACTTATAGTGACGTTCGAATCAACAACTGATTACCTTCTACATTTTAGGACTAGAAAGATGACAACAGAAGCGATAATAACAGCAACCACGGCTGACACTACAGCAGCTATTATTGTCGTATAATTGTCTGGTTCTTGTGGATCTAGAATCATAAAAAAGACATAATGTTTTGGTGAAATGGTAATATAATTTGCGGCAAAACGTGGACATTTGCTGAGACGAATTGGTGGTAGAAGTAAAAGATGAAGAAGCACATTGGACTTCATTGTCTGAATGAAATCGCAGGAAAACGACACAGAGACAAACACAATCATATTCCCACTCCCATATAAGATATAATGTTAATTACTTTCTATAAGATAACATCTCTCCAGCACATAGTCTATTTTGTCACAGTCTAATCGAGTGTGGTCAAAGTTACGGGTTAAAGGGGAACTATCAGAGTAGCTGTTCGTTTCTTTTGGAACTTACCATTACAAATTGGACCTTGGAAACCATCAACACAACCAACAAGACCACAACTACCAGTAATTATATCACATGGTGTTCCATCAGCACAGTTACCGCATTTACTTTCACAGTTTTCACCATAAAGACCTTCTTCACAGTCTGTTACATTAATGTTATTTAAAAGACAAGTTACATGTTACCATTCTAATTGTTTATTTCTGAGATTGACAATAAAACAATGGAAAAGACCTAATACTGTTTAAATAGACTCGAGTTTCGAGAATATTGTCACAATAATTATGATAAAGCAAATTTAATTTTACCTGCTGTACAGCTCGATCCTATTTTACCAGGTAAACATCCACTTTTACAATTTCCTGTCATCTGATCACATAAACCATCTTTACAGTTAGACCGACAATCATTATTACAATCTATACCATATAATCCTGTTTTACATCCATCAGTACATAATCCACTTGTTATATTACATTTACCAACAGTTGTATCAACTGCTGATTTACAGTTAGTATTACATAGTTCATTACATGATGATCCCCATCTTCCATCTTTACATTCAGTACAAGAGCTAGCGTCATTCTGATTACAAACAGTACAATTATTATTACAGTTGGGACCACACCTTTCTCCAGTTTTACCTTCAATACAAGATGTACATTTACCATCAGTTCTACCACATCCACCATCACATCCTGTACTACAGTTCAACTCACATCCATTACCATATCTTCCTATATGACAGTTAGTACATCTACCAGTACCTCTATCACATCCACCATCACATCCTATACTACAGTTCATATCACAATTGTTACCATATCTTCCTACAATACAGTTAGTACATCTACCATTTCTATCACAAGAGACACTGATCTCATCTGATCTTGGTTGACATTCTGTGCCACATGTTAGGTTACAGTATAGACCAACTGTATCAGGTTTACAGTCATTACATCTACCATCAGATTTAGAACATTGGTTGTTTAAACAACCATCATTACAGTTCTGTTGACATCTTGTACCATAAAAACCTGTTTTACAATCTGCAGTACAAACACCAGTAGTAGGATCACATCTGTTATTAAGGCATTTATTACATGGTTGACATGTAGAACGTGATGTATTGTAGTAACCAGTATTACATTGTGCTAGATCTGTAATAAAGATGGTATTATAAAGTGCATTATACTGTTGAGATGTAGAACTTGAAGTACTGTAGTATCCATTATTATATTGTGTTCGAAATGTAACATATATGATATCTATTATCATTACCTTATACTAAGATCTGTGATATAGATGGCAGACATGTATTATAATTTGTTGTATATGTGTTGTATTTGCCATACATCAGCACCGTGTATTACTATAATTATAAACAATCTGTGGTTATGACGTGTTTTATTTGCTGTACTGCAGTATCCTACATAACTAGATTACGTGATGTAGATGGCCTACTCTAGTATCACTAGATACACATACTGTTGTTATGTTCGCCTTGTCATCGTTTACGTGTTGCTTTTGACGTACTGTATTACAGTTTACTCAATATGCAATATAAATTTTATGTCGACCTACGATCTGTCAATTAATTTGTATTTACAAACATGTTAAACACATAATAGGAGGCTTTAGAGATATGAAATCACATCTCACTGATATGGTGTGTTGTTTCGATTAGCTATAGAGAAACTTTTTAACACTTCATTTTTTTCTGTTTAGATTTGTTTTGTTAATTTTGTTTACTTTAAAACTAGACTGATTTACTGAGTTCACAGAGGTTGACATCCTATAAAACAAGTCAATATATATAATCCAATAGAAAAAACATTTTATTTTTCAGTCAGGTGAAAGTTTTTTTTAAGGAGATCACATATCTAAATCCAAATGACCTGTTCTTGTGTTTAAAAAACGGATACCGCCGCTAGTATTTTTTTACTATTACTAATCATTTACATGGCGTAGGCTTTCAAAAAATGTATTCAGATACAATATACATTACAAGCAAAATGTACCATAATTTTAAAAAAAAGTATAAGAATATATAAAACAATATTCATTACAAGCAAAATGTACCACAATTTTGAAAAATGTATAGTTAAGAATATATAATAATTTAAGTAAAAGTAAAAGTTCTATAAAGTAAAAACATATATATCAGAAATCATAATAATTGAAAAATAACTCATAGTTCAACACGAAAAACTGTATAAAGATGTTTAAATAGAAATAATGAAACTAAATCTATAGATCAAAAATGTTTTCAATTGTGATTTAAAATTCGACAATGGGGTAGAACTTCTGAGGGCAAATGAACGCTCATCGTAAGCATTCCGTCTAGATCTTTTGCACATAATTGAATAATGATCACTCGATGACCTCAATGTATTTTATGGACTCAACTGTATTTTTGTTTTACCGATTTTACTGATTTGCATAAGATAAAAAAAAAGACTTGCACATAACTGGTTTCTCGGTGAAAAGGTCTGTCAAGGATAACACCAATCTTACAGGCTTATTACTTGATGCTTTTATTAACCGATTTTACTGATTTTCATAAGATAAAAATAAAAAGACCTGCACATAATTGGTTTCTCGGTGGAAAGGTCTGTCAAGGATAACACCAATCTTACAGGCTTATTACTTGATGCTTACCTACTAAGACTGAAACAACTTCGTCAATTTTTGTCACAAAATATATTTAGCCCTTTCTTCCTTCGGTTTGGGGAAATTGATTCCTATCCATATACGAATCTCATTAATACACTTTTCAATTTGATATTTCGATGTATCGAAATCTCGAAGCAGTATTGAAATCTTGGGGCAGGTACAACTGATTGTTACCCCCGGAAAGTTGGGACTGTGTTTCTCATTAATCTTTGACAATCGGGTGGTGTACATGCTGAACAAAATTGAACCTAAAACTAAGCCCTGGGACACACCAAAGCTAAAGTGTTTTTAGGCAGATGGTTTATTGTCTATAGTGACAAAGTAGGAACGATTAGTTAAATTAGTATATCAACAGCTAAACCTGTGATCGTAAAGTTGCATATAAGTACGCCAGTTACCTGCAAATATTTCAACTTCACACATTTCCAGGGCGTCGTTAAGGCTTGTGACATAGACAGTTCTACCAGAAAATGATGTAGATGAACCTTGATTACATCCAGTTACAGTATAAACAGACTGTATTGTTGTTGTTCTATCTTTATAACATGATGTAGCTGATTGAAATCCTTGTCCACTACACTGACCACTAGAACTTGTCTTTATCTCAAATCTTTGTAATCTCCCCCAGACTGAAAATAAATGAAGATATAAAATCAAGCATAAACACGGTGACATACATTACTTATAGATGTACATACAATGTAATAGAATACATTACAATACAATACACTGTGCGACACATTAAAGTAGCTAAGTCTCTAACTGAATATCATCCAAAGTCTTCGACATTGAAATCACAAATTATTTGTCAATTTAAATCAACATTGATGTTGTAATGTTACGAGAAAATATGGGTTTCTGATATCCAATATTTAAGACAAATGCTATAAAGTGAACCATGCTAGGAGGTAGCCTATCTATATCTATCTACTTACAGTTTCTGTTCTGTATGTTGTATATATTAATTTGGTTGAAATAATACAATTGTTGTAAATCACCACACCACCAACCAGACTGTCTTTCTGTTGTATGAGTACATGACTGACCAATATTAAAATCACTATTAGTATTACCATCTACAGCTCTAGTAGCGACACCACCATGGTTTGTAGAACTCTGTTGTACTGATTGTTGACGAAGAGCAACATTGACTGTGGGTGTATCTGTTCAAAAAGATATTTGTTGATGTAGCTGGTGAAACAGGTAGAATAATAATATATTGAAAGTTGGTGAACTATCAAGCATCTCCTCTTGATTGTGTGGCGGGCTTCTATTTCTAAAATAAAGGTTGTTGCTTTTGTATCACTTGTCAACAACTCACCTATTTTCATGCTTACCATCACGCACCCCATCTCCTCCAGAAAACAGTAATCAGTACTATAAATTATAACACCCTGTCCCCGTCTAAACGGATATATTATTTGTTGTATTTGGCCAGTCCTAGAAATAGGTATTTAATAGTAGAGAAGGTGGTTAACGACGCATGCTATGTGTGAATGAAAAACATCTTAGTTTGTCAATAAAATCACCTATGTCTGAAATGCCCGGGTCTTAGTTTATTACACCTTACCAGAAAATATTTGAACTTCACATAAAGTAAGTTGTTGACTTGAAACAGTGACATATACTGTTCTAGCAGATATACTAGTTGATGTAAGTTGATTACATCTATCTATTGTATATATATCTTGTATTGTTGTTGTTGTATCTTTATAACATGATGTAGCTGACTGAAATCCTGACCAATCACATGTGCCACTAGAACTTGTCTTAATCTCAAATCCCTGTAATCTCTCTTTATCTAGAAAATATAACATTATTCGATCAGTTACTGATATTATATTTGTTTGTTACAAACTGGTTATTTTTACCAACAATGTCAGACAACAAACTGTTGGCTAGGCGAGTATCTTAATCTAATTGAAATGTAACTTTGGACTAGAAGTGATATCGGGTGTTCTCAAGATGGCGAAACTACGCATTTTCATCCACAGCCTTGATCAACGATCCCCTTGCAGAATTACAAGACAATATTCAACAAGCCCTTGTTCAATTATAAGTTGATATAGTGAATGGCTTTACAATTGTTATTGTTGAACTGGTTTCAAACGGAACCTTTCGTGAAATTATCGTTTTTAATTATCAGAGACAGTCAGCTTACATAACACTATAAACCTCAGAATGCCTCGTTCGGCATTTCTGTCCAAACGAGGCAAAAATGTGTTAAAATTTTTGCCTCGTTTTTGCCTCGTTGTAACGAGGTAAAAAAATTGCCTCGTTTTGTCTGGAGTTCCAAAACGAGGTTTTTTTAAATTGCCCTGTTTTGGAACGAGGTATTTTGTTCAGAACGAAGCTGGGTAAAATTACCTCGTTTACTAAGCGTGGTTTTTTGTCCAAGATAATTATTAGCGGTATTTGCTATCAACAAATTGAGCCATACAAATAATGTTCGGATCATCACATGGCAAATTGCCGATCTACAAATTAGATTATTTATTTGGGACATGATATTGTCCATAGCTATGGTTTACTATACTGGAGTTCTATCGTGTATAATAAACGCTATCAAAGCGAAAAAAACATAACAATGTCACGTGACAATATTAAATATGGCGGATAAAAGCGTTCTTTGATTACATGCTGTTTGGTTTCAATATGAAATAACACAGCGGTCCTTCTTTTGCATATGTTAGATTGGTAAACGCTAATTTCTTGTCTGCGATATCAGTTAGGTGGACGCGTACGTCAAGTAAAACTATTTCACACACACAGTTTTCTTAATTAATTAATGACCCCAATCAGGTATCACAACACGACAGTTCTTACTTAACACCTATATAGGTCAACGTTATCAAGGATTCTAATCAAGCAACCATGACATTATTTATTACCCATTTTGACTGTATATTCTTGATACTAGTGAACGAATATTCTATTTAATAATGATTAGAAATATCAGTTATAATTTATGAACTATTTAAATGTTCAAATAACATCCTAAGTAATATTATATCGTCAAGTTTAAATCACAACCTTCATTCGGTGATTATAAATTTATGGAACTTATAACCTTATTTAGCTGAATCCACAAGACAGAATACTGTGATGATTGTTGATTTACATTGCGGCGCCAACTGGTTGCCCTTCGATGCATACAATCAAAAGTTATTTTAATTCAGAGAATGGTGTCCGATTTGTACTTTGCTTATTAATCGTTTGGTTTCTTTCAATTAAATATAACGTAAGCCTCCACCTAACTGATATGTAGACAAGAAATTCGTGTTTATCTAATCTAACAAAAGAAGAACCATCACACATAACAAAAAATCCATTATTATTATTCAAGAAAGCATAACATTTCATATTTCCAATACGCCAGTTTATCTACTGTACCGTCTCGGTCTAAAGATGAGACTGAATCCAGCGAACCCGTTGGTTTTTTACCAGTGTAATAATAAAACATACAGTGGAATAAGACATCGTCATTCTCAGTAAAAAAAAGTGGCGGTCCGCCATGGTCTAAGCTAGTAGAACAAATAATCCATTATAAACTGGGTTGTTCTAACAAAAATCTTAATTAAACCAAACGATTAATAAGCAAACAACCAATCGGATCATTCTCTGAATTATTGCCCTTCTTAAAGATCAACTATTTGCATATAATTATCAAATTAATACTCATTGGCATCTTGGGTAAAAATTATTTTCATGGTTGATTGATAAGATTCCTTTATAGGTACTTAAAAGTAACAACTGTGGTGTTGTGATATCTTGATTGGGGCCATTATTAATTAAGAACGTTGTGTGTGTGAAATAGTTTTACTTAACGTACGCTTCAACCTAACTGATATCGCAGTCAAGAAATTAGTGTTTATTTAATTGAACACTATAGCGGTGTGTTCCCACTTAGCCGGCAGACTGTTAATCCTTTGATTGATCTTAAAACTATAGTCTGTTTAAAAGTAGTCACTCAAGAACTGTTCACTAGTGTTCAGCGTTAATGAGCTCTTAATCCCTCTTAATAAAATTTATTAACCAACTAATTAATGACTGTTCATGCCGGCGTTATGATTTCAAACATGAATTCAATTCACTATATTAATATAAATAGATGGTCGATCTGTGTCGAAATTATATTTATTTTAAAATGGCAAACGTTCAGGTTAATATTCGCTTTATCTCCAATAAAATGATTGTTATGTTGTAAGGCATTTATTTATAAATTATATAATGCTATTTAATAAAAGTTAAATGTGTAAATTGTAATGCATTTTTATATGTGTAAATCATTTAATGTTATTTGATAAATATTAAATTTGTTAAAATCAATATATTTTTATATGTGTAAGCTATTTAATGTTATTTAATAAAAGTTAAATTTGTTAAAATCAATACAGTTTTAGTCTTAAAAAAGATATGGACTATAGTTTATAACACCAATGTTCTAGGATTAACTCTGGATTAGCGGCAAAATTTGACATCAAAGCCTGCCGGATAAGTGGGGACACCCCACTATAGCATTGACTATGTTTCCTTTGAAACCCCATAACTTTGCACAAAATGTCATTATTTGAGCAAGGCTGTATCTACGTGCAGCGATGAATTTGTCGATTCATACCAATTGTCAATTAAATGGAAAATAAAGCACACCTCATACATTAAACTTTAATTAAAACGTTTAATTATGAAGACATATGGACATCAATAATGCCATAATAATTTATGGTATGGCTTGTATTCTTGTCTTGTCTATTTCTTTCTTTGGACATTTTATAATATTATAATATTATAGTTTGCTTTTATTCAATACAAAAATAAAACCAGTACAATATTAATTTTCACAAATTCCTAATGCATGTATCAAACAATATAGTCAATGCTATAATCAGGGTTTTTTTCTACAGTAAATATTGAACATAAACTGGCGTATTGGAAAGATGAAATGTTATGCTTTTTTGAATAATAATAATGGATTATTTGCTGTGTTTGGTGGTTCTTCATTTGCATAATATCAAGAATATACAGTCAAAATGGGTAATAAATAATGTCATGGTTGATTGATTAGAATCCTTGATAACGTTGACCTATATAGGTGTTAGGTAACAACTGCCGTGTTGTGATACCTGATTGGGCCCATAAATTCATCAAGAATGCTGTGTGTGTGAAATAGTTTTACTTGAACTACGCGTCCACTTAACTGATAAAGCAGACAAGAAATTAGTGTTATCTAATCTAACATATGCAAAAGACGAACCACCAAACACAACAAATAATCCATTATTATTATTCAAACAAGCCAACAGTGAGGCTGATGTCCCCCGCCGAAATTGCAAAATAAATAGATGACACATATTAATTAATCGCACATTTATTTTTTTCACTAAGTTTCATCACTCTCTATCAGATAGAATCAAGATTATCTTGTCCCAAACCATCGACAAATGAAATCGATTAGCTCTGCTTAGCTTCAGCTCGAAATGTTAATTATTGAACTCAGTCAAGACATTCACCTAATGAACATCTACATATACATCAAGTTTAAACATTCACCTAATAGACACCTATGCCAAGTTTGAACATTCTACCTCAATTAGAAGGAGAGTTATTGTGTTCCAAAGTTTCTACCAATCAAATTGCTTATCACTCTGCTTACCCTCAGCAAAAAATGTTCATTATCGAACTTAGTTAAGGTATTCATATAATAAATCTATACACCAAGTTTCATCAATCTCACTTAATTAGAACTAAAGTTATCGTGTCCTAAAGCATCAACCAATCAAATTGCTTATCTCTGCTTACCCTAAGCGGAAAATGCTCATCTTCGAACTCCATCAAGGCATTGACCTAATCAACACATAGACCAAGTTTGAACATTCTAGCTCAATTAGGAAGAGAGTTATCGTGCCCCAAAGTATCAACCAATCAAATTGCTTATCTCTGCTTACCCTAAGCGGAAAATGCTCATCTTCGAACTCCATCAAGGCATTGACCTAATAAACACATACACCAAGTTTGAACATTCTAGCTCAATTAAAAGTTATCGTGTCCCAAAGCATCAACCAATCAAATTGCTTATCTCTGCTTACCCTAAGCGGAAAATGCTCATCTTCGAACTCCATCAAGGCATTGACCTAATCAACACATACACCAAGTTTAAACATTCTAGCCCAATTAGGAAGAGAGTTATCGTGTCCCAAAGCATCAACCAATCAAATTGCTTATCTCTGCTTACCCTAAGCGGAAAATGCTCATCTTCGAACTCCATCAAGGCATTGACCTAATAAACACATACACCAAGTTTGAACATTCTAGCTCAATTAGGAAGAGAGTTATTGTGTCCCAAAAAGTGTGACGGACAGACAGACGGACGGACGGACAGACGGACAGACGGACGAACCCATTTTAATAGTCCCCTGCTTTCTTCGAAAGGCGGGGGACAAAAAGCAGAACATTTCATCTTACCAGTACGCCAGTTTATGTTTTAAATTTACTTTAGAAAAATAACTTGACTATAGCATTGACTATGTTTCTTTTGAAACCCCATAACATTACACAAAATATCATGATTGGAGCAAAGTTATATAAACGCGCAGCGATGAATTTGTTGGATCATACCAATTGTTTGGTGGTTCTTCTTTTGCATATGTTAGATTAGATAACACTAATTTCTTGTCTGCTATATACATATTTTGTTTTATCCCTATGATAACCGCATACATGATCACTTTTATACCAACAAATTTACACCAACAATTAGAGGAAGCCCCCCCCCCCCCCTTCCTAATTTATCTATCAAATGCTTCAAATCCCTCTCAAACAGTTTCATCCTAAGGAAACTACTGTATGCGGGGATAATTTTTATTAACCTTTTTTATCACATTAGTTGAATCCGTTTTGAGAGAGAGAGAGAGAGAGAGAGAGAGAGAGATGGGTTTTGACGTCCACTCGACACAACATAGGTTGTTTCGGGGCCAAAATATGGTTCAATAATTTCAATATTTCATTTGCGCGTAGGGTTCTTTAGCCGTTAGTCGTTGTCGTTGAATCCTAAGTACATCCCTGGCTTATCCTCCACCTTCTTCGTTTTCGACCGTTTAATCGAAGTGTCCACTGGGCGTATAATTCTCCGAATGCTCTCACAACCGTTAGCTATTGGATCAATATATAAGACTGCCAGTTAGTGATGCCCTCACAATTTGTGTTTGTCAGGGAATCCAGTATTTATTAAGTACGATACCGAAATTGTCACATTACACATAACCACCCGATAAATTCTTTCTTTAGAATATATATTTAAATCCATTTGTCGGAATGTATGTTTATTTATTTCACATTTATTCGTACATTAGTGTACCCTTCTTTAAGACTTACATCCCGTTTATTCTGGCTTTTCACATGGGCGGGTTTAAGTTGCAAAGGTCTCTTGCCGACAATGTCACTGGGTCACTTGCCAATGGAGGATATTACTATTGGAGATCGGGGATTCAGCCCATTTGATGATGGTATACTGTGGTATTATATATACTCAAACTAATTTATTTATCAAATGCTTCAAACCCCTGTCAAAACATTTTAATCAGAAGAAAACTCCCCTATGGGAGGTGAATATATTTGTATCAGCTTTGTTGATTGGGTATTTGCGGGAGGTGGGGAGAGAGAATCAATTGTGAGCTTGTATTTGTCGCTAGTCGCGGTCCATTGGCCATACATACAGAAATCAAGATAAATTCCTGGCTTATCCCCAGCCGTCATATTCCACCGTTTAATCGACTCCGCCCACAATAAAACTTTGACGAATCAGCTCCGATTACAGTTGTCCACGAAGTGACGTCGCGTTGCCACGCTTCTTCACTTTCTCACACAGTGATCGTAACAACGACATCTACTATCCAGACAGGTTAAAAGGCGGTGTAGTGTACAGTCCCTTCATTGTCTGCGATATCACCTCGGTGGAAGCGGACGTAAAACACAACTAACAACTAACTAACAGTCCCTTCTCGAAACCGGCAAAAATATGTGCGAAGTGTATTCTAATGGATAAAACTACTGCCGACGTCACCCCCAGTTGAATGTAAATGAAATGAAATGAAATGGGGTTTAACGTCCTACTGTTCTGCTCCTAACCTGGGCTAATGAAGACGGGCATACGCCATACAGTGTGCTATGAGGGAAATTTTGCCCGGGCAGCGGCACTATCGCCTACTCTTATATCGAATTCCAACTGCCAAGGGATCTTTTACGTGCATTCCAATGTATACACGGGGCCTCGGTTTTTCGTCTCATCCGAATGACTAAACAGCTGTCCTTGTCAGGCCCTCCGTCCCGCATCACTGACAAGGGGAAACCACGCCGGAAAATCTGGATGAACTTTCTCGGCCAATGCAGGGATCGAACACCCGACCTCCAGGCTAGCGAGCCAGCGTCTTAACCACCTAGCCACCGTGGCTCCCAGTTGAATGTAAACAACACCAATTCTAACCGATCATGTGTGTTCCGGGGTAAGTAAATTAGGGTGTTATTTTGCCAAATAACATTTAATTTAATTTTCTGTAAACTATTCCGAGGTTAATAATTTTTTTGTATTTGGCCTGGACAAATATCAATTAAATAGTGTGTAATCTAACACGTCGTCTTCCTAGCACTGTAACAGCCACCATTTGCTAACCCACTGAGAGGACAGACCACTAGCCATGCTCCATTTTCTTTAGATGATATTTACGAGTTACGTCACATTATTCCATACATGGTTCTCAGTTCTCATTCCGTATTTCAGAATTCACCAAAAATGGTGAAATCTTCTTCGCCCAACAGTTTTATCTATTCAATCATCATAACCACATTATGTTCCCAATCTTTACCATTTAACAATGAAACAAATACAAGAGGACAACAAACAAACATGTTACAAACAAACAAAAATGACAATAGACAAGGAAACACTTACTTCTGTCTCTATTAAATAGTTTTATGCTGTCAATATTATAAATCTGTTGTAGATCAACACACCACCAACTAGGGCTATCAATACGTGTATGTGTACAGCTAGACTTAACAAAGATATTATCAGTATTACCATCTACAGCATTACGTGAATTTGATCCAGAATTCAATGTTGAACTCTGGACTGTTGGTTTGCCACGAGCAATGTTAGTATCTGTAAATACAGCATAATATAATAATACAACATGTACACACAACTTGTAAATAGGGTGGGACGATTTACCCAATACTACTCAATACTACCCAATACCACCCCAATACCAAGTCAATAATATCCCGATACTACCAAGCTGTTAAACACCCCTTCGTGCAAGCGAGTTAATTTCGATAACGAGAGAGAGAGAGAGAGAGAGAGGTGGGGTTTAACATCTACTCGACACAAGCTAGGTCATTTCGGTGATTTAAAAGACAAAGGAAGCACGTTAATAAGTTATGTTATTGATATAAAGATAAATTCGTGTGCTTTCCCGACATTTTATACCCAAATGATTTTTTACAGGACCGCGTGCACTTGTAGACATCGTGTTCTAATACTAAAATCACCAGGATGAAGAAATATAGTATAAGAAGATTTTTGAGTAGGCCACATTTTAAAATCAACCCCTAAAGTACTCTTTTAAAACTCTTTATATTTTGTTTTATGTGATATATTGATATGCTTTTAACGTGTAATATTGTATGAATAAACTATAGCGGGAGCATCTATAATAACTTATTTTCCTTATTTTAACTTCGTCGTCTTGAAAACAAACCGCAAAGCCCAACAAGATGATTAATCTGAATAGCAATCTAAAAATATATATATATCGGTTGTAAAGGGAGATAACTGAATAAATATTTCAATTTTCTGCAAATTATTCGTTGCAAATTATTATACTGATGTGCTGCTAATTGACGATATTAGGTTTGCATTTTATAATATTGGGTAGTATTTGATAAGTATTTTGTAGTATTGTTTATTATTTGCTTGATTTGGGTGATATAGGGAGGCAAATGGAACAAACAGACATCGTTAATCACACTTGAAGTACATTTCCCACTATAAATCTCACTATTTTTGGAAAAAAATCAAGTAATATGGTAGTTTTGCACCATTAATGTTGTAGTACTGGGTAGTATCACTAGTATGTGGTGATATTGGAGTGGTATTCTAGCGGTATTGGGTAGTATTGGGTAAATCGTTTTTATTGCAAATTGAAACTCAAAATGGAAATTTCGTGGATCCTGATTGTTCGGAAAGTGACGTCAAATGAGTATAACAGACCTCCAAATTTCCAGTGTCGCTTATAAATTATTCATTGGAGCATGAGTATGCTCTCGGTGTTTTTGTTCGGACCTAGTACACAGTTGTATTCTTAAATAATGTTATGGAAGGTATGGTGTAAAATAACTATTTCAATAGCTGTCAATAGTGATAAATAATAAATACAGTAAAACAAGTAATACCTGTACAAACACCACATGATCTCATACAGTTCTGTCTATAAAACGGATCTCTAGGATATAAAGTATCACCACATGATTGACAGTTGCTGTTGTCTGTATCTCTACAAACATTTAACGCTGTAAATAAATATAACGTAAGAAATACAAAATATATGTTTTATAAGAAATGTACACGAAATTATTCCACTGTCACATTAATTAATATAAAACTACAGAAAATTCGTCAGATTACAGACGACCTTCACTTATACTTCCGTATATAGGAAATGAAACGAAGAGCAGTTTAAAGTCTAATTAATTTGATGTGACGAGCACGAAACCTATAATTGTATATAAATACTATAACAATGTTAATGATTACTACTTACCTAAACTATAATCTATTAACGATAATATAGTTATAACTGTTGACAACTGTTTGACTTTCATTTTTGACCAGATTCGTCAGGCCTAAGGTAAACAAAAGAGTCAACTATTTATTAATCTTCCATTTGTTAATTTTAAATACAGTTCGCTTAAAATAAACATCCACCTGATATTTATATATTTTTATATAGAATATCAGTTAGTTTTAAACACAAAATCATTGTACATGTATCTATATATATTTTTATTTATAAAAAACAGTTATTTTTAAACAAAAAATAATTGTACATGTAATGTCAATAACAATGAAGCTCAATGTCCTCATAAATATAATAAATCTTATTGGTGTTCACATGCCACAGACGATTAACCTCGCCTATTTCTTTCGTAACACATCACTGAATAATATAGCCCTTCTATCCTCCTTAACGCAATCACCTGTGTAAATATGTGTTGATATTTGAGTAGCTTCCTCGTAGAACACATATGTCTTTAAATAAATGCATACATATATGGAAATTCAAACAGCTCTTTATTCAGTGTACAAATGTCGAAATATGACAACAAATGAAAAAATAAGAATTAAGGACTATGAGTTAAGAGCTAAGAATTAAAAACAATGATTAAAGAGCTGTTTAGTGTTAAATACATATAAAGAAAGTTATAATATGTAACATCTTCGCCGATAAATATATATATGAGTATGCATGTGTGTATATCTAGAGTGACCACATATTTATCGGCGAAGATACAAAATATATGTTTTATAAGAAATGTACACGAAATTATTAAAACTACAGAAAATTCGTCAGATTACAGACGACCTTCACTTATACTTCCGTATATAGGAAATGAAACGAAGAGCAGTTTAAAGTTTATATATATATATATATATATATATATATATCTTTATGAAGGTCGTGTTATTTAATAACCAGTAGCGCTTGTATTTAACATGCACCGTTGGCGATATCTGTGCATTGCAGAAACTAGTCGCCATTACTTGTATTATAAATGTACACATGACGCCATTAATTCCCCCCCATTGACTTTATGTTAATTTTAATCACTTTGGCCAGCTGTAACTTTCCCCCGAATTTTAGTTGGGTTGTACTTTAATGTTAATTGTTGCCTCTGTGGCTGGCTGTAACTTTCCCCCGAATTTTAGTTGGGTTGAACGCTTTCTATCACACATGGAGCAACATGTGACAACCTTTTGCTGAAAAAAGGTTTTCGGTTCACCATGGAAATCTTCAGATGCATAAACTGTGGCATACAAGTACCCACGCAACGGTCCGCTGCACATTTCAACGTAACAAACCTCTTAACTCTCTTATTCTTGGGCCTCTGCATCAAAAAGTCAACAAAAATTATCATGCTAAAGGAGAAAATGGGAAAAGACTTAACGGCGGCCTGTGCCCAAATCTACTTTCTAGTACATTATTTATTTGTCAACCAATGTAACTTAACTCATTCCATATCCAACAAAGTTACATATCGTGATTGCAGGCCAGTTTCTTTCAATGGCCTTTCAACTATTTGTTTTGTGCGAGTATTATATAAAGATATTTTATTACGATAGATAGGTAGAGGTAAACATGCATTTTACTGATAATACACTTATTAGAGAACGGGTGGTATTGCGATTTGCAGTCCAGGCTAAAGAAATTGTATTGTTTAGTAGCAAGTTCTATATGTCTTAATAAGTCTATATGACCTAGAGTCCATCAGATCCTTCTATTTACGTGTTTATCATCGTTCACCCTATATATTATAACAGCCTATAATTATAGTATAGAGTAAACGTCAATATAAGATCCTCATGCATGGTTTATTTTTTTATTATTTCAGTTGGTAAGCTTAACATAAAAAGTGACAAGTATTTGAATCTGTATTATCATAATATTTGTATCAATTAACATTTCTTGAAATATATAGAAATTATAAAACTTACCATATATTCTGTACCAATATCAACAGAATAACAAGCAATTGAAATACATCCGTAATACGTACTTCAACTTTGTGAAATGGATGAAACCAACACTTCACATCCAATAATTTTAAAGGAGGAAGTAAGCTACTATTGACCATGGTCTGTATATATATACACTGAGACACTACAGTGAATTATTATAAAAGGGCGCAACGGTAATATAATAAAAGGTAATAAAAAAAAATCTACTCCCACATTAAAGTATATACAAAATATGAAGTTTTTTAAAATCCATCTTAGCTAGCGCTTTCACCCACTAAGAGGGTGATCGGGCATTATATGAAAATTAAATGAAATGAAATGGGGTTTAACGTCCTACTGTTCTGCTCCTAAAGTGGGATAATGAAGACAGGCATACGCCATACATTGTGCTATGAGGGAAATTTTGCCCGGGCAGCGGCGCTACGGCCTACTCTTATATCGAATTCCAACTGCCAAGGGATCTTTTACGTGCACGCCAATATGTACACGGGACCTCGGGTTTCCGTCCCATCCGAACGACTAGACAGCTGTTCTTGTCAGGCCTCCCGTCCTGCATCACTGACAAGGGGAAACCACGCTAGAAAATCTGGATGAACTTTCTCGGCCAATGCAGGGATCGAACACCCGACCTCCAGGCTAGCGAGCCAGCGTGTGACCCACTTAGCCACGTGATCCCCCTATATGAAAATTAAAATGCTGAGGAAAGAAAAACAGTATTAACCGTCTAGGGCTTTCAGTTCCACCAGAAGCTCATTAGGCCTAAAATACCCATTGTCAGGGGTAGATCCAGAGGTGGGGTTTGAGGGGTGACCCCCCCCCCCTGCTCAGCTACATGCTTTTTTTGGGGGTTTGTTTTTTTTTGGGGGGGGGGGGGTGTAAATCAACACTTTTTATAAGAAAAGTCGTGTGCTTTATCCTTTATCGTCAGATGTGGGCAGGATGGGCACTCAAACCACAAGATAATGATATAGACATTATGTGATATCACAATTAATGCTTTGAATCCATGAAATTGAATCACAATGTCATTGTATTAATTCATAATAAAAATTGACGTCGAACGAGGTGTTGAATTTCTCTGTTTAAAAAGCTCAATGTGTATGTATATACGCCACAATGACGATAAAGACCATGCGGGAGGGGGGGGGGACATTGTCTCGGTAACCTGGCAAACCCCTCCTGCAAAAATTCCTGCATTCGCCCCTGATTCTCCATATATTATTTGAATTAAGATTTAAGACTGGTTCAAAAACGACATCTGTATTAACATTAAATGTGTATAATATAAGAGATTATATGGTGAGCTCCCAAGATGAGCAAAGACGTACTTTAAGATGTTAAAATGTTATTAAACCAGTGTTGAAATTAGCTTGTATTGGCGTACTTTTTTTATATTTTCATTGTTTACCGTTTAACACAGTAGTACAACTTTATGATATGGCTATTTTTTGTTATGTTTTGCTATCCCGTTTGAATTTAATGTTGATGGATTTTACGATATGGCTATTTTTGCTATGTTTCAGTATCCAGTTTGCATATAAAGTTGGTGGATTTTTAAGCTTAAGATCAATCCATGCTAAACAATTCTCTTTTTTCGCCGACAACCACAGTGAACGTGTGAGTGAATTGTAGAACAAATGTATGGATGAAACCTGATGCTCTGCATATACAAAGAAGGAAATGCGGTTTAACGTTCTCCTGTTCCTCAGCGACAGGGCTAATGAAGACGGGTACACGCCATTCAGTGTGGTATGAGTGTGTGTGTGTGTGTGTGTGATAGAGAGAGAGAGAGAGGGAGAGAGAGAGATGGGTTTAACGTCCACTCAACACAAACTAGGTCATTTGGGGACTAACATATGGTTCAATTTTATTTCAATATTTCGCTTGCGAATAGGGGTCTTTAGCGGTGGGAGGAAACTGGAGGACCTGGCAAAAAGCAACGATGCGGGTCAGGCGAGCCTCCTCCTTATAACGTACACTCGGGGAATCGACACCACGCCAGTTGACTCAATGACAGACCTTAAGATACAGCGCGGACGTGCTAACCATTCGGCCATCCACCCCCCAGTGTGCTATGAGGGAAATCTTGAACAGACAATGGCACTACCGCCTACTCTTATTCCAACTGTCAGGGGTTCTTAAAAGTGCACTCTAATTTGTACATGGGGCCGCGGTATTTCGTCCTATCCGAACTAGCATACGCTGACAAGGGTGGACCACGTTGGGAAAATACCGATCATCTTTCTCGGCCAACACCGGGATCGAACACGGGACCTCCGGTAATGAGCCAACGTCTTACTCACCGAGCCATCCCGGCCCCCGTACAAAGAAGCAAGGTGAGGTAGACAAACTTTATAATTAATATTAATGATATTTAGTACCATTTCCCTCATAGCACACTGTATGGCATATGCCCAGTTGGAGCACAACTGTAGGACGTTAAACACCATTTCATTTCATCTTTACTATAAATAATTAGGTAAAACCTAATTAACTGATTCTATCCATTATATTTTACTATGAAAATTATAAACAGGTATTAATTTAACTTCTTCAATTTAATCCATTACAATACTTATTATCCCTAATCTTATCTTTAATATAGATTTGATGATATGATTGCCGTTTAACTAAATGTAAATTAGTTTCTTTAAAACAACATAGAGGGGTTGAACACGTGTGAATTTTGATATATATACACAGTACTTAACGTGGCCACCGATTGGTACACGTCACTACACAGGTACACGTAAGAATCCAAAAAGGACACACACGTCACCAACACTACACTGATGCACAAGGATATTAACAATAGCCTAATATCGGGCTCACGACACCTGCCCTTAACGCGTTTCACAATAATCCAAGACACCAACTAGACACTATCCACCGATCTGCTGAAAACGCGCAATCCCGCCAGTTTTATTAGGTAATGTGACGTCATCTTCCCGGTGAGCGGAAGTCTCGCTAACAGAGACCGCAAAAAAATAAACAAACACAGTATTAAAAAATTAACAGTGGATTTATTAACAATGATGATTGATTAGAAAATTAAAATGAGATAAGGGGGTGATTATTGACGGAAGCCGTGAGCAATGTGAGAAAGTAACCCAAAAGTTTTAATTTAGAATTTAGAAAGAAAAAGGAACCCAAAGAGGATCGCCAAAACCAATAGAAATTTTAATACATATCCACCCCCACCCATGTTAATATTTTGCCTGTACATATTCCTCAAATCGCAATTATGAGCCGGTTTTGCTCAATTTGGACATAACCAACCATTTCATTAACAAGATTGAATCAATTTATATGTGACCCACTCTGGCAAAGGCGTTCACGTGAATCCACAATAAGATATTGAGATATATACATATATAGAAAGACGATATTCTCAGCTTTAATTTGGTGCAAGAATTTTTTAATTATCTCAATATTTATCTCAATGTGTGGTAATGTTCAATGAATTTTGACAACATCGATTTTGGAAAATAGCCGTCAAAGTTTTGTTTCAATCATCAGGTAAATGTCCATATTCCTAGTACATTTATTTTCAAATTTCAATTTTGGAAAATTCGCGAACAAAATGGTTCTCTAAATAAACTATAAACATAATTCATAATAAAAGAAGCCAATTAAGTAATTTACACATGTAAATGTATTAAAACAAAAAAGAAACGTTTGTTGTTGCCAAATATTTAATTTTAGAAGTACAATCCACATGCCTACTGGAGGAAATTCTGCCAGTCATAAGCATTCACATTAACCGTGCCATCTTCTAACCCTGTGATTCTCAACCAGTGTGCCGCCGCGAGATCTTCCTAAGTGTGCTGCGAAATTTTGAACGGCACGCTAAGAAAATGGGTAAAACCACATAACCCCAGTTGAGTATTCACTGGTGTCTACTGGTAAGTTCATAGCTGTGTTTTCTTTATTTAGTTTGAGTCACTTTATGTGCCTCTGACTAGTATGTGTCTAGGGTTGTATGCCGTCTATGAAGTGCCATGTTTTTATTTTGCAAAATTCAAATATTTTTCATATATATTTAGCCAGGTGTGCCGCTATTTTTTCATGTGTTCCAAGGTGTTCCGTTGGCAAAAACAGGTTGAGAACCACTGTTCTATCCCAACTAGCTGTACTTTCAAGAACTACAGCAGCGATATCATCCAACTCGGAGACTCGTGTCCGTCTGTGGTTTTGCTTAATTAGTCCAAAGCACCAGCCTGGTGCGAATTTTGTGTGACCAACTTTAAGGAAATGTAGACCTATACGACTATGGAGCTTGTGCATGTGTTACGTGCCCGAGGTCTCGCAACTTGGTGTGTTCATTCGAGCATGACCCAACTGTATTGACTGGCCTTTACTTTTCAATAGCTACCGGCTGACATGCGTATCACGGGGTGTTACGCAGACGTGTAAACAAATTACCGCTAGAACCTACCAATAACGTATATGACAGGATGTCAGGAATAAATAAATTTGAATGGGGAGGGACAAGAATACAATCACTATAGCTAACGATTAATGGAATAACGAAGTACTTCAAATAAGAATGAAGGCAGCGTGTCGGGAACAAAATGGCAGAGTGGGAGCATGCTGCATGGATGTTACTTTCAGTTTATTAGGCCCTAACGGACAGGTTGTCAGCTCATGACAGGGGGGGGGGGGAGGGGGAATTATTGAGAAACAAGAATATTACCAATGTCAAGCTCAGTGGCCCAAACATGGGACTGAGAGTGATTGTTATCAAATGGGGGAACAAAACCCAAATACGGGACTCGTACCAAATATGGGAAAGGGTAATTTGTTGGGAACATTCCTAATATGGAAACTTGGGAGCATATCCGGGACGGCTCCACTTATGGATGCATAGTCATGTACATGTAGCTATACTATAAGGGTTTTTTATAGAAATAATAAGACAGTTGGGTGGGGTTTATTCTTTATTTTAATGAATTACTTGTCGATACAATGTACCTATTTGTGCATCAGCAACTCAACCGGTAAACGTTTTGTACATAACCATAATCTAGATTTGTAACATATGTTTG